GCACCATGTTCATCAATTTTGAGTGATATTGTTATAAAAATTGGTAATATTTGATGCCACCAAACTTGTGGAATTCTTATTGTATGTAAGTTTTGTGGGATGATAGTATTTCCTTATTGAACCCAATTGTACTTACTAATGTCTCCATCATGTTATCAAGCATTCACAATGATATCAAAGCTTCACAAAACAATTTCAAGTTTACAAGTCAGAAATTCCCCACTCACTCACCACAATTTACTAGAAAAAGTGTCAAAGATTAAATCTTACAATTGAATGTGATAAAAGCCTTAAAAAGTGTATGTGGAATTTATCAAAAGTTAAGATCCATAACAAGCCAACAAGATCCATAACAAGCCATGTATACCTATACAAGATTATAATATCTTCATAAGTAAGGATTAATAGATTTGTGACATTCCATAAGCATGACAGCACGAAAAGGCTCAAAATGGGCAGGTGAGGCATGGGCTCCAGTGGAGTGGAGTGGGGTGGGGGGAAGTTGGATTTTCATTGTGGGGTTGATGTTGCTATTTGTCAAAGCAAGACTGTAAGAGGGGAGGGGTAGCAAGCGTTAGGTGTGGGTTGTAGTTTGAGTGCCATTTTGCCAAGTGGGAGAAGGCGTTTGAGAGCGACTTCGAGCAGGAGGAGCAGATGTGCAAAACAAATATAATTTCAAGCAGAATTCCTCGGTACATCCGCCTCGGTTCCTTAGTGTAGTGGTTATCACGTTCGCTTTACACGCGAAAGGTCGCGGGTTCGAAACCCGCAGGGACTACCAACGTGGGGAACTCTCCTCTTTTTCCCTTTCCGCCTGCTGCTCCCTGCTGCCTCCAGCCCCGCCTGCACCGCCGAGTTTACTGAAGCTCTGCTCTCTCAGCATCATTTTGCTCCTGGGCTACTCCTCAACTGCTGGTTCCCGCAGCCCCACCCACTGACTGCCACCGCACCGCCCCACCTCCGTGCTTCGCACACTTTCTTCACCAATTCACCCTCCATTCCACCTCCACCTTTCACTCATCTCCGACTGGTTTCCAAACCGATGCACACAACACCCCTAGCATCTCTGCACCAACATTCTGCACGCACTGTTTGTTCACCCCCTCCCCCAATGGGACCCAACAAATACCACCCTTCCACTTCTCACTCTCACTCACCCATCAAAGTTTACAACTTACAAAGTTCTCCTAACACAACATGTGCCTTGCATTCCTAATGTCATGGTAAGTGATTGTTGCTTACAGTTTTGGAGCACCACTACACAAACTACAATGCTTGGTGTAAACAAGATTTCTTTTTCTTTTTCTTTTTTCTTTCTTTCTTTTTCTTACCATACTCTCTATAGAGTAGTTCTTCAATTCTTCTAGAATTGCATCAACATAGAACAATTATTCATGACAAAGTGTAAAGCTCTTTTATATATTCCCTTCTTGGGCAAATGAGTGATTATTTCTTAGATTGTGCCACATAATCCACTTAAATAAGTTATTTCTAATAAGATGACGTTTGTACTAACAAATCCTAATTATTCATTTAAATGTATTACTTTTTTTTCTTTGAATTGGAACACATGTTGGATTTTTTTGCATATGATGGATTTGATATGTGACATGGGATTGTGTGATTGTTTTAGCATTAAGGGTTTTTGGAATGTGTGGCTTAATTTTTTGAAATGTGTATCTTAAGTTTTGTGGTGAAATATTTAGTCAAAATATCAAGACTTTGTTAGGTTTGAATATTTTTTTAATCATTATTAAATTATTTTTTACTTTTTTTGTAGTGTCAAGGACAAGGACTCGATGAAAAATAATTCAGACAAGTGAGCCTTCACTCAAAGAGAGGTAACAAAATATAAATAAACAAGTATATATATTGAAAGAGAAACTGGAATGGCTATTGCCAAAAGACAAGAAAACTAGAGACCCTTGAAACTAGATTAGAAGCAAGAAAGGAGTTGACAAGAGTGAAGAAGCTTTCACTCTTGTCTCTATATATACTATCTAACTAGGGACTACGTGGCGACGTTCTATAGGACCTCCAATATGTGTTGACTTTGTAGGATACATGCCTTGACTTACAAGGCAAGTTTTTCTACGTGTGGGCCACATAGTTAGCTTGATCTTCAAGCTAACAACATGTGTGGCACATGGCCAACTTGTTGACCACGTTTCTAATCCAAAAAGTCAATTAAAGACACCTATGAAGTCAAAGCAACGTCTAGGAAGTTTTTAGGAAGCTTCCATATTAAATATTATAGAATTAACTTACTTTTATCTACTTTTACTTACTTCTACCTATTTCTATATGTAATTATTGGCTTACATGATTATGGCCGTGACATTACCCCTCCTTCTAGAGACGAGTTCTACGAGGAGCGGTCATCATATATTGAGGAAATCTATGATGCGACGAATTGTATTCGCCAAATACTCTGATCTCTGTTCTCTTCGAAGATGATTGATAGGGCCTCTCAACCATCTGTAGTGTCTCATACCAGGGCGGGAAGACCACCCCGTTATTTGATCATTGTTGAGGCCTTCGTAACTTCCTTCGAATAGAATATTTGGAACACCATCATGAGTTGTTCCTACCTCTAGCAAAATCACCTAACATCGGGAGTCCCTTCCCAAATCGTGATACCAAACGCGTTGTATCTCACCATCTATTCGAGGAAGAACATGTCGTTCTTGAAGATCTTCATCTCGATTGCGTCGTCTTAAAGGTTGTGACAATCGTAATGTCTCGTCCGACAAGTCAGCAAATGAAGGCTCTTGAGTTGAATCCGCTAGTTGTTGGTTCTCCATCTCTCGAGCGCCACTACTACAACGAAGCTACGAACAAGAATTGAAAGTAGAATGTTATCTTGCCTAGATGTTGTTTCTTTTATAAAGAAGATTTTCATCTTGATTTTGATGGATGTCGTCGATGAAAAGCCTCCAACGCCTTTGCTGCATTTACAAGATTCTTTATTGGCTCCCATGTGCGTTTACTAATACCATATCCACGCCAATAGACAAAATATTCTAATTTATTTCGGTATCACCTTGAATCTAAGACTTCTTCTACTTCAAACTCTTCATTATTGTCCACTTCTATAGAAGGAGGTGGAACTTGTTGTCTTCTTGGTATGTCCACTGTCTTGTATGGTTCAAGAAGAGACACGTGGAATACTGGATGGATTTTCATTGACTCTGGTAGATGTAAACGATATGCAACTGGATTGATTTGTGCAGAAATAGAAAATGGTCTCAACCTTCGATAGTCCAACTTGTCACAAGGACGAGTGGTCTTGATATTGCGACGAAGTAGCCATACCTTATCACCCAAGACGAATGATGGTTGTTCCTTTCGATAGACATCTGCATTAGCCTTTTGTTGTTCTTGAGCCTCTTTTAACTGTGCCTTCATCGTTGCATGTAGCTCTGATAAATGAATTGCCAAATCTTTCGCAGCAGGGTTATCAACTTTTGAAAAGTCAAAAGTATCAAGTCGTGGATGATAACCATAATTAGCAAAGAAAGGTGTTTGTTTTGTAGAAGAATGTACTGTGTTATTGTAAGCAAACTCTGCCAATGGCAAAAGAGTTGTCCAATCATCTTGTTGGTAATTAATGGTACATCTTCAATATTGCTCCAAAACTTGATTAACATGCTCCGTTTGTCCATCAGTTTGAGGATGGAATGTCGAAGATAGTTTTATATCCACTTTAAGAATCTTGAAAAGAGTCCGCCAAAATCTTGATACAAATTGAGTTCCCCTATCTGATATAATATCCTTGGGTAATCCATGATAGCGATAGATATTGTCAAGAAAGAGCTTAGCTGTTTCTTCACCTGTGATAGATTTTGTACATGGTACAAAATGTGCCATCTTGGTAAAACGATCTACTATCACGAATATAGAGTCATAAGAACCTGAGATTGGAAGATCCATGATGAAGTCCATAGAAACAAAAGACCATGGTTGTTCTGGAATGGGTAATGGCTGAAGAAGTCCAAAAGGTCGATGATGAGGAATTTTCGATCTTGAGCAAACTTCACATGATTGTACAAAATCTTTAACTGCCTTCCACATTTGAGGCCACCAAAAATCCCTAGATATCAGCTCCAAAGTCTTATTATATTCAAAATGTCCTGCTGCTGGGAAGTCGTGACGAGCTTGAAGAACACGTAAACAAGCTTCTCCTTCTGGAATATATAGGCGTCCTTCGAAATAGAGTAGGTTGTTCTTGAATTCAAATTTAGATGGATTATGAGATTTAGAAGAATTGTTCTTGATATCATGAACAAGAGGGTCTGAAGACATACTTAAGTAGACTTGCTTAAGGAAAGTTAAATCAACAGTCAATGTTGATTTTATTGCTCGAAGATGAAATTATTCCGGCTTCAAGAGAATCGTTCTTTGTTGCTCAAAAGCTGCATCTCCTTCTTTTGGTACAAGATAAGAACGTTTAGACAAGGCATCGGACAAACCTTGTTGTTTTCTTGGCCGATAAGTGATGATGAGCTCGAATCTTGATAAAGACATGCTCCAACGAGCTTGGCGACGATTTAATACGCGTGCTGACATAAAATATTTGAGGTTCTTGTGATCCATATACACGGTGACTGGACTAGAAGCGCCTTATAGATACTGACGCCATTCTTGAAAAGAATCCACAATTGCAAGAAGTTCTTTGTCGTGGATCTCATAATTGATTTCTGCTGTTGAGAATTTTTTTGAATGAAAGGCTACTAGATGAAGTTTGTCATCTGTTCCCATTTGTGATAAAATCGCACTCAGAGCAAAGTTTGATGCATCTGTTTCCATAAAGAATGCTTTGGAAAAATCAACACGATACAAGATTGGTGTAGAAATAAACGCTGTCTTCAAAGATTCAAAAGTAACTTCCGCTTCTTGATTCCATTGGAGTTTGTCTTTACAAGTCAAACGTGTAAGTGGAGCTGCAACTCGAGAGAAGTCTTTGATGAAGATCTGATAGTAGTTGGCAAATCTCAAAAAACATTGGACATCTCTTACCGTTTTTGGGATCTTCCAGTCTATAATAGTTTGAACTTTCTTAGGATCCATCATAAGTCCATCATTTGAAATGATGTAACCTAAGAAATCGACTTGAGTAGTGTGGAATACACACTTTTCTATCTTGGCATAGAGTCCTGCATCTCTTAATTTTTGTAACACACGACGAACATGAAGTTCATGTTCTTTTGGATTCTTAGAATAGATCAAGATGTCGTCTAGATAACATACCACAAAATCGTCCAAAAACTCTCGAAAAACATCATTCATTAGATGTTGAAAAGCTGCTGGTGCATTTGTAAGTCCAAAAGGCATGACATTGTATTCAAAATGTCCATACCTAGTTTGAAACGTAATCTTCCATTCATCTCCTTCTTTGATGCGTACTAGATTGTATGCTCCTCGAAGATCTACTTTTGTATAGATCTTAGCTTGATTCAGTTGATCAAGAAGTCCGGATATTAAAGGTAGTGGATACCTATTTTTGATGGTAATCTTGTTGAGTCCTCGATAATCAACACACATCTGCAATGATCCATCTTTTTTCTTCACAAATAGAATTGGAGCTCCTACCGGAGATTTAGAATGGCGTATGAAATTCTTGGCTAGATTTTCTTCAATATACTCCTTGAGCTCAGCCAACTCATTTTGTGATAAACTATAGATTGGTCCGAATGGCGGTTGTGCTCCTTCTTGAAGGTCAATTGAGCAATCATAGGGACGATATTCCGAGAGTGTATCCGCATTCTTTTTTTCGAA